CTGTTGGGCCAACCCCTCCCCGCGCTGGGCCACCCCCCACCCTGCTGGGCCAACCTCCCTACGTTGGGGGCCATGGCCCGCAAAAAGAAGAGCCGATCTGATGACGAAATGCTTTTTTATAAGATTACAGGAACCCTGAGATCCGACGTTGCCAACAAACAAAATGCAACAGCGCAACACATCACGCCCGGACCCCTGGACCCCATCTTTCTGCATCATTTTTCGAGCCAGATCGATCTGTGAGGGTCCCGGGGCCTGAAATTCAAGTGACGAAAACGCCCGTTGCGAAAAATTCGCAGCTCCAGGATCTCAGGGAAGTGCACATTTTCTACAGGAGAGGCAGGCACTGATTGGGGAATTCTGTTCACGCTTCGCGTATCCCCACAAGTTGCTCTTGCCGCCTGACCGTCGTCTCGCGGCCGCGACCGAAAAAGTATCCCCACCAGTTGACTCCGTTTCAGCTGTCCCTCCACCCGCCGGTCCGCCGTTGGTCTGCTGCGTGAGGTCTCGGTTTGCTGCTGTAGGTGTAGCCTCCCTCCGTCGCCTTAGGCTAATTCGTCCCTGCGTGCCCCGCTTTGACTGGACTCGCCGCCGGCGCGCTCGCCCGCGGCCGCTGACTAAAAAGTATCCCCACCAGTCGTATGTTAGGCCATCGTACGTTTCCACGACGCCGCGCGGCCCTCCCGCTTGCGGTTGCGAACAAAAAAGTATCCCCACCAGCCAATCCAGAAACGATCAGCAGGGGAGTCGGTGAATCAGGGGCGGCAGGACGCATGCAGTTGCGCAGTCGTCTTCGGGAAAACAAGGATCACAAAGAGGTTCCCGCATTGAAGTTTATGATGGAAATCAGTGCAAGCTACTGTGGTGCTTCGATGAGGGTTAAGGAGTGTTTTGATGACTCGTAATGGATGTTACACTGACTTGTATCTTAAACTCGCGTGCGTTTCGAAACTTGGAGCCATCTTGGGGCTCTCTTGGGGTTCTCTTGGGGCCCTCTTTGGGCCCTCCTGGGGCTCTTTTGGGGCGTCTGGGGGCCCTCCTGGGGCTCTTTTGGGGCGTCTTGGGGCCTTCTCGGGGCTCTTTTGGGATGCCCGAGGGGCCTCTTGGGGCCGTCTTGGACCCTTTCGCTAAAAAAGATGGGGTGTTTCAATTCCCATCGCCCCCTCGGAGGCTCAAAAATGCCGTCTTGGGGCCCTCTTGGGCCGCTCTTGGAGCGCTCTTGGGCGCTCTTGGGGCCGTCTTGGGGCCCTCTTGGACCCCTCTTGGGGCTACCTTGGGCCGTTTGGGGGCCATCTGGAGGCCTCAAGAGCCCATCGGAGGCGAAAAAGCGAGATGGCAAAACACACTGATTTTCCTTAGGTTTTTGAAGGATGTTGGCCTCTTGGGGGGGTCCTTGGAGGCCTCGGACAGCACTTGAAACCGTCTTGGGGCCGTCTTGAGGCCTCTTGGACGTGTGTCGGAGGCTATCTTCACCCATCTACCGCTATCTTCGACCATCTTGGAGGCCATCTTGCGCTCTCTGAAGCCCTCTTGGAGCCATCTTGGACCAAAAAGGACCCTCTGCCACATCGCGGGGGAGCCCGTCCAGACGCAGGGCGGGGGGGGGGGGTAAACCACCCGAACAGGGAAAGGAAGGAGGTTGGAAAAGGAAACGCCCCAGGCCACCTGCGCCCAGAGGGCCCGTGGGATGGCAGGCAGGCCAGGCGTCACATCTTCCCACCCCCCCCGTTGGGGGGCCTTGCTCCCCCCTCCGCTGGGGGCCAGCGCCCTCTTCCCTCGGGGAGGGGGAGGCCCGGAGGGGGGCCTGCCCTCGGGCCAGGCCGGGGCCGATGTGCGGCGCGGCACCGCCCACCAGCACGGGAGCAGAAGTCGGGCATGTCCTTCTACAGGAGGGATAGCCAAGAACAGTCAAAAAATAGTTTGGGCACGATTTTGTTTTACTATTCCTGACTATTTGGGGGCATTTTGTTTGCTATTTTTTATCCTTCGTGCAAAACCCGCCTGTAGGGGGACATGCCCGACCTAACGGAAGCAGCATATCGCCCGCGCCACGATGCATCGTCGCGGTCGGTGCGGCACCGTCTGGCACGGCGGTTGCGCCCAGCACGGTGTTCCCTGAGATCGTGGCGTTGCGATTTTTTCACAGCGGGCGTTTTCGCTCGAATTTCGGGCCCCCGGACCCTCACAGATCGATCCCGCTCGAAAAATGGCGCAGAAAGATGGGGTCCGGGGGTCCGGGCGTGATGTGTTGCGAGGTTGCGATTTTGTTTTGCAGCGTCGGATCTCAGGGTTGTTCAGCTGCAGGGGTCGATGCGGCGCGGCACGTTCCACCAGCACAGCAGCATCGCCCGCCACGATGTGGTCGCGGCCGGTGCGGCGCCGTCCAGCACGGCGGCTGCGGCCAGCACGGTGCTGTCTGGTACCCCAGAGATCCGACGCTGCAGCAAAATCGGAGCGGGCGGCTTTGGGCTGATTTCGGCTTCCGGGGGCCCTCGCCAGGCTTCGGGACCGTCAAAACACGGTTCGGGGCGAAAAGCTGGCCCTGCAGGGGAAGTGGTCGGGACCTCCACGGCCCGCCCGTCGAAAAGATTGGAGCAGGGCGCGTTACATATATATATATATATATATATATATATGCATATATATGTATATATATATATATATATATATATATATATATATATATACTCACACACACACACACGGTTTTGAGCCGGTGCCAGTTCGCCAGAGTCTGGCCGGTATCCCGCAGGGTAGCGGCCATCGTGCAATCCTAGTGGTATGGTTCAGCCCGGCAGAGCGCCCCACCAGCGTTGCTGGACGCCACCCGCACGTGACACGGCGGGCACCAGTAGGGCAGCACTGGGCAGTACGACGGGCCCCTGCCGTACGACGCTGGGTTGCACGGTGCAGCGCAAGTTCCTCGATTCTGGCGGTCGCTCGTGCGCGGCACGCCATGCACCAGCAGTGTGGCACCGAGCAGCACCACGGGCTGCTGCCACACGACGGGCTCCCGCAGAGCAGCATCAGACAGTGCGACAACCAGCGCGACGGTGGCCTGCACGACGGTGAACAGCACGGCGGTGGTCAGCAGCACATCGCGAGCAACACGACGATGGGCAGCAGCCCATCACGAGCAGCATGACGACGCGCAGCTTCACGACGTGGTTTATCCGCTCGACGTCCATGAGTAGAGCGACGGCAGCCCGCCTGCCCGGTGGTCCGCCTGCGCGCAGATGCGCCTCAGCAGCGCAACGCTGAGAAGCACATCGGAGGGCGACACCGCGGCTATGCCATCCATCCCCAGCGGCCGTTGCCAGCACTACGGCCTAACGAGCATCTCCACTCGCAGCAACACCATCCAGCTGCCCTGCCACCAGCACCGCCAGACACACCAATACCGTCAGACACGCTGGCAGCAATGCTGGCTGGGACTCTTGCTCTGGCTCGTCTGCCGACTGCCGCTTCAGCACCGACTCCTGCACTGGAGCAATACGACGGGTGACAACAGTACGACACCACCACACCCGTCGCAACAAATCGAAACCACCACATCCGACGACACAAATCGACACCACATTACCGCTACTCCAGCCACCAGCTACCACAATCGACGCCACTACCACTACCACCACGTCGGCCAGGCATGGTCATCACGACTCCGGCTCTGCTTCCACCTCCGACTCCCTCCCCGACGACCTTCTCGACGCGCTTCCCGACGCCCTGCCTGGCGCTCCACTTGACGCCCTGCCCGACGCCCTGCCCGACGCCCTGCCCGACGCCCTGCCCGACGCACCGACGCCCCGCCCGGCTCCATATTCGATGCCTTCGGGGGATGCCGGCCCTTCGTCTTGGAATGGCTGGCCTAGCAGGCGCGTGCCAGAAATAGCAACCTGGCGTCGAGCAGTCCAGCGCCAGTGCCTACCTCCCTGCCGACGCCGAGCCCGACTTCCAGTCACTGCCAGTCCGACGCCGGCGCCGCCTCCCAGCCCCGACGCCTGCACCGACTGGGAGTCGCCGGCACCCCCGACCACCTATATGGATCACAGTTTGTTACCCGTCGGCCAGACTTGTTACAAGTCGGAAACGCTAGGGATCTGTATCCATGTCTGTGAAATGAAGTGCGCCTGCCAGGGCCTGCGTCGGCCTGAGCTCTGCCCAGATTGTGGACTTGTGTTGCTTCACCATCGCGTTCACTTACGTGCAGCAACCCTCGAGCTTCGAGATACTACCTGCGGAGGCTTGCTCCGAGAACGCCGTGGCCTCCCCGTCGCTTTCTTCAGCCGCGTGTCATCACGACATCAACGCGCTCCACAGGCTTATTCAGCACACATTCAGCCCAGGGCGGAAAATGCGGGCAGCTGCTCCGACCTGTATTTATTTCTTCAGCCAGCCGTTCCAGAGCCGACCCAGGTGGGCGCACCCACACAGTATAGCACCCACCAGCATCCACCAGCACGCGCTCGCATCGGACCTCGGTGGTGAGCACTGTGCTGAGCACCACGACGCGGACCAGACGACCAGACCTCCCATCACCACGTGGCTCTCCAGTACAGCGGCATCGGGCGCTGCCGTGCCGCACCGGCGCCCAGCGGCACGACGGGGAGCCGCGGCGCGACCCCCGACCTCCAGGAGTGGGGCGGGCGGTCGGCGCCCGGGGTGCCCCTCTGCCTCGGGAGCTGCTGGCGGGCCGTGGGCCGCGCCGCCCGCCCCCCCCCCGCCAGGGCCGCGGCCGCTCCGGGCCCGCGCCGTCGCCGTCGCCGGCGTTGCTGCCCGCGGCCCTGCCGCGCCCATGCCCGGGTGCTGCCAGGAGTGCCCCGGCTTCTTGCCCGAAAGGTGCCCCCCCCCCCCCCCCTTAGCTTCTCTTATACTCCATCTTGGAGCGCCTTGGGGCCCCCTGGGCCTCGAGAGGGGCGCTCTGGAGGCCGTGTGGGGACCCCCTTGGAAATCCTGGGGGCACCTCGGGCCAGAGGCACTTCTGGCAGCACCGGGTGTACGGCGCAGCTTGGTGGTAATTTCTGCCATCTTCTGCCCGGCGTGCGACCTTCGCCCAGATGCTTCCCGCCGTGGTTTGGCGCCGTGCTTTTCTGGTAGTGCTGCTCTCGCTCCCGCCCTCTCCCCCTTCCTTCGTCGGCTCCCCCCCTCCCCGTCCTGGTGTTCCGCCTCCCGTGTGACAGAGCTCCGGGCCTTTGTGTTCTTCTATCTGCCTGTGCTGTTCAGAGCAGGAACAGCAGCAGAAACATAGATGTTCGTCGCTCCGCGCGGATTTCTTGGATCGGCGCATGGGCCCCCCCCTGGCGGCGCCTCCAGCGCCGCCCCTGGCGCGCTCCGCGCTCCAGGGAGAGGGGTCCAGAGCAGATCCAAGAAACCCGCGCGGAGCGCCAAAAGTTTATGTTTATGCCGTTTGTTCTTCTGCTGTCCAGTTCGTTTGATGGTCGGTTGGACCATGGGGGGATGCACACACACACACACACACACACACACACACACACACACACACACACACACACACACACACACACACACACACACACACGCGCAGCGACATTGTCAGTCCCCCTCGCGTCGCTTCCGTCCTTCCTCCTCCTCCTCCTCCTTCTCCTCCTCCTCCTCCTCCTCCTCCTCCTCTTCCTTATCCCTCCGCTTTCCCACAACATTTTATATGATTTACGGCAGTGGCCGTTTGGGCCATGCGGTAGGGGCGCGACACGCTACTGGCAATTGTGGCCTGATACGTTTTGTGGGCAAATTCGTATCAGCCGCCATCTGCTTCCCCGAGTCCGGGGCTATTGCAAGTTGTTGTTCTGTTGCTTCTTGCGGTCGGCCTCTCTCGCGCTGTGCGCTCGGGATCGCCCCCTTGAGGGGCAGCGGCTTCATGCTTCTCCTCTGCTCGGTTGCTGGGGTGGGGTGGGCGAGGGGGAATCAGAGAGTGGTGTGGTTCAGCGAATCGCACCAGTAAACCAGTAGTGCATCCTCCTCCCCCCCCTCCTCCTCCGTTTCCTCCTCCTCCTCCTCGTTGGCGCGCCTGGCGTGCATCACGGTAGTGCAATCCAAGTGCCTGCGGCCGCCCGCGCCACCGTGCCAGCGCAGCAGTGCAGCAGCTCCGCGTGGCGATACGGATGCAGCGTGGTGGAGGAAAACTCGGCGACCTCGCTCCAGTTCGGTGCTGTTGTGACTGGCGCGGGTCTGAAACTCGACCTCCTTGCGCTCAGTCTCGTTATCCTCCTCCTTCTCCTTCCTCCTTCTCCATCGATTCCTCCCTCTTCCCACCTGCTTCAAGAGGGAGGAGCAAGGGAGAGAAGGTGGAGCCTCGCGGGCCTTCTGTTGGAGGCTCTTGGAGGCCTTGGGGGCCATCTTGAGGGTCTTATCCGAGGCAAGTTAATGAGCCACCTTCTCATGCTCGTCCACCTTCCCGCTCTACTCATCTACGAGGGTGGCGGAGAGATATCTCCACGCTACTCCTGCCACTAGTGGACATACCCTGGAGATCAAAACCTCCGGGTGGAGACTTCTATATATCCACTTAACGGATGTACGATATACCTCTTCTTTGTTAGAGGCTGAAACCTGAAATTGGAGATGTTGGGCACTCCAGGTAATCCAGGGACGGATTATGATCGAGACTCTCTTATGATTGGATCAAGAAAGACCCACGATCCCGCCGAGATCGATTCTTTTTCCATTGATGCAGTACTCACCCAGCTGGATGGTCCTCCTTACCCTCATCCTCCTCATCCTTCTCATCCCCTTTCCGTGAGGTACAAGGGCGAGGCCAAGCCTTGCCTCAATTCCCGGTGCTATTTCCAGTTCGAGAGCCTTGGGCAGTGCGAGGATTCCGCTTACTGCAGCGGGGCGCCAGAAGTTAAGAATTGCAGACGAATAGTGTCGGACGCAGAAAGGGGGATAGGCAGGGAGGGGAGTAAGAGGGGTCGTTGGTTCGGCATGATCAGCAAGGAAATGTTGATGCAAGAGCGAAAGGGTGTGAAGGAAGAGGATGCAGAGGAGTAAGAGCACTGGGAGAGGCAGCTAATTGGAATCAGGACGGTGTTGACAAGGCAAGGACGTGAAGCCGCTGGTAGGAAAGGATGGCTGGCAGGCGAGGGTGCTTCACGAAGCGGGGAGAGTGAGTCGGCAAAGCGACCATTCGTGGCGGCAGCATGCTCCTGCGCCACAGGATTTCACCAAGGACTACCACGGCCACCAGTTCGTGGACGGACAGGCTGGCGTGCTTGCTCTTGCGCTCCGCACTGCCTGCACTTCCCCCGCTGCACGGATTCGGTTGCACGGGCGGCGGTATCCACTCGAATTGGGCTGACTGCTGGGCAGCTTCTGGGAAGACCTGCCAGCGTGGAGTGGGCCTGCATCGTTTCCACGGCCCGCGCGTGTCCGCGGGAAGTTCGACCCACAGGAGAGCGAAGCACCCCATCTCGGGGCTCAAGAGACGGGGGTCAATGCAAACGGGGGTCAGTCCGAGCGCCGGGTCTTGCAGCATCCTGCACAGCCAGGGTCGCATTGACCCCAGCTTGGGTGCAGGATCCTGCAGGATCCTGCGACGCCTGACTGACGCGGGTTTGGATTGACCCGGGTCAGTAGATCCCCGACGAATGGCAAGTTTGTAGCAGTTACCTATCCAGACGTCGTGATGGCCTGGCGGCGATCACTCGCAGGTTGAGTTATTTTGTCTTGGTTCGTTGGCTGACTGGGAGTCCGAACGGCAGTTGGTTTGTAGAAACGTTCACAGAGGCCATGTAGAACCCGTGTTGGGCGTGATACCTCCCCTGTCAGGAAGGAGCTCATCATTCCAAGCAGGCCGTCCGATCAGGCTCGCGGGTAATCCCTTGATCATCTGTAGAATGTTATCTTGCAGGTTGGATCACATCTCGGGAAGAGGATCGCGGTGAATCTCACGGACTTGACGTGGGTTTGAGCACAGGGGCCTGCAAGGTCGAACACCCTGGTAAGTGCGAGTAGCCTCTGTTGACCGACGTCCTTCCACATAGGGCAAGCGCAGGGAGGTAGGGATCCTTGAAACCGAGTCGTTCCCTGGGGTTTTCCTCGTCGCGATGGCGCCGCGGACAAACAGAGACTGACAGATTTGGCATGTTTCTACCACGTTGTCAATCCACAGTTTAGGCCGAGGCTACCGCATTAGAAGCTTCAGTGATTGATATACATCACGCCGTTCTCTCGGGGCAGTAGGGCTGGCAGCCTAGGGGCGTATGCCGCACGAGAAGAAGAAGATTACGCCCTCGACGCTCTACATGTCTTGTCAACTCCGTGACCTGAGTGTCTTGGCAAGGAGGCTCCCCCCATTGAAAGGTATTCTGAAGTGAACGATAGACCTCCAAATGAAAAGGTGTTGTAGGTCCGAATCCATGTTGGCTCAAGATTGCCAGCACGACCTCCTCGCACCCGCCCAACTTGCTATGCCTTCTACATCTCGACTGTCGTTGTATTCTGAAAGTGAGCACGTCTACCCCTCACCCCACCCAGCCCCACCCACTCCCAGAAAACCTTGCCACTCTACATGAGGCGTCCCCCCCAATCTGGTCGCGAACGGGCCCGTGCAAGATCCTATGGCGGTAACCCCTTGGGATGCTCACGTGTCCTGCCTGCGACATCGCGATGAACATTAGGTTCTGTATAGAGGAGGTAGATGCTCCACCCCCGCATTTCTACACGATGCGCCCCCACAGTCTGGGCTCTAACGGGCCCGTGCAACCACCCCTGGCGGCCTTCGGACGGCACACATGTTAAGCTTGCTACGTTGCGATTGCCATTTGGTTCTGTGCAAGAGCGGGTATGCGTGTGAGTGGTGAGTATGACTAAGCTTGTGTACGAGCGAGCTTGTGTATGAGCGAGTCTGCGTGCGGGTGGTTGAAAGTATGAACGATTGAGGTATGAGTGAGCTTGGGTGTCAGTGAGTATGCGCATGCGTGGTCTGAGCATGGTTGGGTACGAATATGAGTGAATATGAGCGTCGATGAGTCGCGCAATAAACGATTCTGACTGATTTGACGTGTGTGTGTGGATCGATGAGTGGTCTTTGTATGAGTGAGCCTGAGTTTGAGTAGGAGGGGGAGTGCGTGAGTGAGGAGGCGGAGGTGTCATCGAATCACAGTAAGCCAATACTTTGAATCTGGGGGTGTATACATCGCGTCTACGAAAGTTTTTCGCGAATTTGGTTTGGTCACCTTCGTGACGGTGACGGTGGAGTTTCTGGAGGTCCCTGGTTTGACCCCCGTCTGGAAAGCAGTTCCGTGTTTCGCATGCCCCCGTTCTCTTTATCGTCCAAGTGAAATTGGTGTCGTGTTTCTCCCGCCTCTAATCTCGATGCCGCCAGTGGGGAAGTCTCGGACATGCGATGGTGATGTTGATGACGACAGCGATGGCGGCGCCGTTGCGCCCTCTTCCCATGCAGATCTGGATCTCCGCGGAAAAGCATCAAGGAAGAAGGTCGCCCCTCGAGCGCATCGTCGCCCGCGGGAAATCGGTTTCACGTGTCGCGCGCCTCTAATTTCCTCATCGGCCGACGGGAGATCCGGGTCGCACAGTGAAAAACAATTGAAAGCACGGCCCCAGAGCACGAAACAGGTTCCAACAGGCTTCCCGAGTGAAAAACAAGTGAAGCACGACCCCGGAACACGGTTTTGCGGTCCAACCCGGAGGTCTTCAGGGGGCGGGCGGAGCTGCTCGGACGCCCCCCCGTGCATGGATGCACATCGTCTGGGGGCGGTTTCCGAGGAGCGCGCCGATTGAGTCTCAAAATGTCCGGGTCGACCAGGGCATGCTGTCACGGTGAAAACCAAGGGATGTTGCGTGATTTGCAGGTCCGACCCGAAAACTGACAGGTCGACCTGAACATGCCCAGGTACCCCGCATGTATGAAATTACCAGGTTTCTACATCGCGTGGTACCATTTGGACCTGAACATTTCCAGGTCGACCTGAACGTAACGTCCGTGTGAAAAAGCAATGGGTGAAGCGCCTCCGAAGAATGTGTTCTGCTCCAATATGCAAATTTTCAGGAGGACCTGAAAGAGCTGGAGTGCTCCAATTGTTTCAAGTAATACATCCCGGTGACATTTTCAGGTTTCCACACCGTTTGGCGATTGTCAGCATATTACAGGGCCTGACAGGACCTGAAAATATACCCCCCCTGCGGTTCCGCCCAACCGCACTACTGGCGTGTCCAATGACACTGTACGGGGCCCCGTGCGCCTAACGGGGGTCTGCCATTCTGCTACGGCCCACTCACTCTCGCTTGCTCATGCTCATGCTCTGGCTCTCGCTTGCTCATGCTCACTATCGCTTGCTATGGCCCATTCATCCTTGCGCGAAATCGCTTGCTCATGCTCATGCTCATGGCCCACTCGCTCTCGGTTGCTCATGCTATGGCCCTGAATCTGCAGACGCGCATGCTCATGCTTGCATTTTTCGAGAAACTGTTGTAAACGGTCCGTAGCCCCATCCTTAAAATATGGGGCTGTGCATAAGTTTGAGTTCAAGCGAGCATGCGTATGAGTGCTTCCGTGTGCCACCAAGCCTGGGTGGCTCTAATCTTGAATCAGCCTGAGTACGAGGGGTTACTTCGGCCCATCCCGCCACCGATCCTGGGTTGTGGGTATGAAGACTTTCGGATGTTCGTGGGATCTCGTGGGAGGCCTCTCGGGGGGCCTCTGGGAGGCAGTTTGGAGGCCTCTTCGGGGCCTGTTCAGGGCCTCTTGGGGCCTCTTTTGGGTCTCTTGGGGGCCTCTTGGGGCATCTTGGGCCTCTTGCGGCCCTCTTGGGGCCTCCTGGGCGCCTCTTGGGGCCTCCTGGAAGCGTCTTAGGGCGGAAGGCTCGGATTTTCGGTTCGTGTTCCCTCTCTTGGACCTCTTTTGGGGTCGTCTTGGGGTCCTCTTGGGCCGTCTTGGGCGCCTCTTGGGCTGTCTTGGGACGCTCTTAGGCCGTTTTGAGGCCCTCTTGGGGGCCTTTTGGGCCGTTTTGGGGTAGTCGTGGGGGCCTCTTTCGCCGCCTTTGAGCTTCGGAAAGCCGATGTGTCGAGAACGCCAAAATCTTTCGACAGCCTAAGAACCATCACTGAGTTGTGCCTCTCAGGGCCCTCTTGGGAGGCATCTGGAAGGCCTCTTGGAGGCCTCTTGGGCGCCTCTTGGGTTGTTGTGAGGCCATCTTGGGCGCCTCTTGGGTTGTTGTGAGGCCATCTTGGGCGTCTTGGACCGATCTTTGGGCGTCTCGGGGCCCTCTTGGACAATCTTGGAGGCCGTCTTGGGCCCGAACAAGTCATGCGAGAACACTTCCCGGAGCCCCGGGATTTGATAATTTGGGCCCGCGCCCCTTAAAGATTCCTCAGGACTGAGGACTGGGGCTCCAGGGATTAGGCAAAGGACCTGAGGACACGCCCACTCCGTGCCCAGAGGCTCGGTGGCGAATGTGTGTAAGTGGGTCTGGGTGTGCGTGTCCGGGTGTAAATGAGCTTGAGCAACTCTGCGTATGTGTGCGTATGTGTGCAAGCGGGTATGAGCATGTCTGCCCCGAATACGAGTGAATCTGAATATGGGAGGGAGAAGGATGGAGGATGTGGGAAGCAGGAAGGATGGAGACGGAAGCGCCATGCGAATAGCACCTAATCCCTATATCTAGGATGTACGGAGGTATACGCACATGGGGGCCTCAGCGCCGCATGACTTGCGTGAGGTATTCCGCTGACTGGTGCGAGGGCGCGCCGTACCCGAGGCCCTGACAAGGATGACGTGTCTGAGATGCCCAAGCGCAGAACGAATGTTGGCCGACGCGTCCACTGCAGCCGTCACCGTAGCGGGAGGGGCTGCCAGGAGCACGGCGCTGGAGGCACACGGTCTCTGGCGAACGCCAGCACGCGCACCCACGCTTCCCGGGTGCACGCCCTGCACAGTTCCGCACTGTGCCGTCCGTCCGTCCGAGCAGATGTTTGCATGGGCTTCTCGGGCCGAAGAGCGACGGTCAACAGCTGCTTCGGTGCTTGCTGGTCACGCTTTTTCTCCCTGCCTTCCCTCTGCCCTCCGCCCTCCGTCTGGGCCTCCCAGATGGGGTCCGAGAAGATGGGGCCGGAGGACCGCGCCGCATCGCCGATGCCTCGGCGATGCTGCTCGATGCGGAGCTCGCTTTTCTCCACGCCGACGTCGCCGATGCATCGCCGGCGTCGCCAGTGCCTCGCCGATGTATCGCCGATGCGGCGCGATCCTCCGACCCCACCCACTCCGACCCCATCCAGGAGGCCTCTAACTCCATTCCTGCACCTCTCATCCTGCTGATCTCGCGTGCAATGGCCAGGGAAGCCTGCCGATGGGAGGAGGACGACGACGAGGGAGGGAGGGAGGAGGAGAAGCAGGAGGTAAGAGAAGAGGAGGAGGAGGAAGAGAAGGAGGAGGAGGAGGAGGAGGAGGAGGAGGAGGAGGACGGGGTGGAGGAGAAAGAGGATTATGTGGGGAGAGAGCAGGGTGGATGATGATGAGAAGGTGGAGGAGGAGGAGGACGGTGTGGAGGAGAAAGAGGACGATGTGGGAGGAGTAGAGGGGAGAGGATGCGAGGACTAGGACGATCAGGAGGAGAAGGAGGAGGAGGAGGAGGAGGAAAGAAGGCGGAACATGAGGACGGGAAGGAATAGGAGGAGGAGGAGGAGGAGGAGGAGGAGAGGAGGAGGAGGAGGAGGAGGAGGAGGAGGATTATGCCTCCCCGCCAGCCCCCTACGCTGCAGGGGGAGAGCTTCCGCGCCGTCGTCTGTATCGCGCCTTATCAGAAGGTGCCGCGGGCGAAGCAACAGAAGGACCCCCGCGACGGCACGATCGAGGACGATCCAATATACAAGGACCGTGGGTGCCAATGGGGGGTAGGGGGAAGGAGGAGGAGGAGGAGGAGGAGGAGGAGGAGGCGGAGCAGTTGGTGCAGAGCTGGAGGAAAACGAAGAGGAGAAGCACGAGGAGAACAATGATCAGGACGACGAGGACGATGACAAGGAGGAGGGATGCAGATGGGGAGGAGGAGGACTAACACATGAGATGGGGCCGAGTCTCGCGGGCCTCGCGCAGCCACCTCGGGGCGCCAGGTTCTGGAAGCATGGCCGCAGGATCTGAGAGGATCTACCCATTGCATTTCGCATGGTTGGGGCTCTGGCGTCGCCAGTTCGACTCGGTGTGGGCACTCTCTCTGACCGTGCTCCACATGGCGTGAGCAGCCCACGCTCGGAGCAGACCACTGAGAGCCCCTCGGTGCCACCGGCGGCGTGCCCAGCCACGTGCAACCTGTGGCCCCGCGGGTCCTGAATTAGATGAGTCATACGGTGGGGGCGTTCGTTAAGGAATGTGCCAGGGGGTCTTCGGACCCTGGAGGGTTCCTGATCTGATGAGGTCGGCGGTGATAACCATGGCCAAGCCTCGATTGGAGTTCCACTGGACTCCAGACCCTGGATTCCTCATCTAAGGGTTCCTCATCCAATGCCCCCACCGTACTTGGGCTGCGCCCTGGGCAGTTCAGCTAGCTCCACAGGCGGGGCACGTGTGTGACATCCAACGCGAGCCAGGCAGCCACACCTCCAGCGGTGCCATATCCGACAGCTGGTATCCCGGTGTGCCTTGCGGGCCCTCGATTGTGGTGAGTCAGATCGCGCTAGGACTCTCTCGCTCCTGCTTCCGCTGTTTGCTGCTGCGGCTTCGCCCTCCTCCTCCTCCTCCTCCTCCTCCTCCTCCTCTTACTCTTCCTCCTCCTCCTCCTCCTCCTCCTCCTCCCCCTCCTCCTCCTCCTCCTCCTCCTCTCCTCCTCCTCCTCCTCCTCCTCCCTCCTCCTCCCTCCTCCTCCTCCTCCTACCTCCTCCTCCTCCTCCTCCTCCTCCTCCTCCTCCTCCCTCCTCCCTCCTCCTCCTCCTCCTCCTCCTCCTCCTCCTCCTCCTCCTCCTCCTCCTCCTCCTCCTCCTCCTCCTCCCCTCCACCCCCTCCCGTCCTCCTCCTCCTCCTCCTCCTCCTCCTCCTCCTTCCTCCTTCTCCTCCTTCTTCCCTCCATTCCACTTCCTTAAGATAGTTGATGCCTCCCTGTCGTACCCCGAGGCCAGTCGGAAGGGTTGGCCGGGCGTTTCGCCTGAGACATCTTTACCATTGATGGTCCTGAAGTTAAAACACTGGCAACAGTCTCACACATGTAGGGCGGGCGGTTTTCAAAATGTAGCTCTCGCCTTAGCGCCGCGCACCTTCGTTGTTTCAAGAACTTCCCGGATTGAGGACTGGTCGTTTTCAAAATGTGGCTCTCACCTTAGCGCCGCCCGCTTTCGTTTTGGAAAAGTGCAAGAGTTTCACGGATTTTAGGGCGGGCGGTTTTCAAGATGTGGTTCTCACCGTAGGGCCGCGCACATTCGCTTAAAGAATTTGGAAGAGCTTCACGGATAGAGGGCAGTTCCTTTTCAAATTGTGGCTATCGTCTTAGCGCCGCGCACACATGCCTTAAACACTCGTAAGAGTTTCACCGGTTCCCAAGGTCAACGTACCGAACATGTTGTTTTCGAGCGATTCAGAATTACCAGGGCGCAACAGTGACGTTGATTCGCAATGTTGAAGTCTCAGGAATGGTGTTTTGATGCGATCCAAGATCGTCCAGACGCAACAGTCAGGTTGATTCGTGGCGTTGGAATCCCGAGAACGGTGTTGGCACGCTTCAGGATATTCAAATTGTTGTTTCCCAATGGGGCATTTCCCTCCGTGGAAGTAAACCCTTGCTGAGGCCTATAAACATGAAGCTTGGAGTGAGGACCTGTTGCAAGATCGTTGGTGAGCCTATGGTTTATCATCCATCCTTCTCCTCCCTCTCCTCCTCCTTCCTCCTCTTCCTCCTCCTCCTCCTTCCCCTCCTCCTCCTTCCTCCCTCCTCCTCCTCCTCCTCCCCCTCCTCCTCCTCCTCCCCCCTCCTCCTCCTCCTCCTCCTCCCCTCTTCTCCTCCTCCTCCTCCTCCACCTCCTTCCCTCCTCCTCCCCTCCCTCCTCTCCTCCTCCTCCTCCTTCTCCTCCTCCTCCTCCCCCTCCCCTCCTCCTCCTCCTCCTCTCCTCCTTCCTCCTCCTTCATCCTCCCCCTCCCTCCCGCTTCCTCCCCCCTCCTCCTCCTCCATCCTCCTCACCTCCTCCTCCTCCTCCTCCTCCTCCCCCCTCCTCTCCTCTCCTCCTCCTCCTCCTCCTCCTCCTCCTCCTTCTTCTCCTCCTCCTCCTCCTCCTCCTCCTCCTCCTCCTCCTCCTCCTCCTCCTCCTCCTCCTCGTCCTCCTCCTCCTCCTCCTCCCTTCTCAAGCCACGTGGGCTCAAGCTTGCTTGAGCTGACTCCTGTACCTGCGCGCGGTGCTTGAGGCCCACCGAGGCCCCGCTCCCCCGATCGGGCAGCGCTCGGCTGACCAAAGCAGGAGTTCAAGCCATGGTACGTTCGGCGCTGAGGTCGGCCTCTCCCCGTCGCTGGTCTCGCTGTGACAAATGCAAGAGGTGCGACTGGAACGACATCCTCAGCAAATTGGACAACAAGTGTGTGCAGTGCGCTTGTGAGGTGACCATCTACAAGCCCAAGGGCAGTCAGTCGGTGAGGTCTGCTTCGCGCGAGCGTGCAGCTCGCAGGGCGCATTTCAGCGACTACGTCGGGCCTCAGCAGAGACAGCAGGTGCCCGCGTCGCAGGCTGAGGAGTCGGCCAGGCCGTGGGCACGACCTCATTTTGTCCGTGATCACCTCATGGAGGCGTTGAAGATGGCCCAGGACGAGGAGCTTAAGAAGTTTCTCAAGCAGAGAGTGGAGTCCCTGTCGGCGCTCGAGCAGGCGGCGGCGCCTCCGCCGTCTGCTGCGGCTGCGCTGACCAAGGCCGATTCGGCCTGGAGGGACGCCAATCACAAGCACGACCAGGCGGTGGCCAACGTGCGGAGGCTGCGGACCGCGCTGGCTACCGCAGAGGGCAAGGAGGCGACTGCGGCGGTCGTCCTTGCCAAGGCCGAGATCGCGCGGAAGCGCGCGGTGGAGTCGCTCGCCAGGGCTGAGGGGGTTGCAGCGGCGCCCGAGGCCCCCGTGCGCGAGAAGAAGCCGACTGAGCTCTTCGAGATCACCTGGGATGAGTCGATATTCCAGGACGTCGAGGGGCTCGAGGTTGAGGAGTCAGAGCGGGAAGAGTTGAAGACCATCCACGAGCAGCTCACCTCCATGCAGAAGGCCTCTTCTCGTCCAAGTCAGGGGAGGTCAAGGAGTGGCTGGCCAAGGCGGCGCAGGTCCGCGAGGCCATCACCACGCGCATGGCCAAGAAGCGCAAGGGAACCGAAGGCGTCGTCCAGGCTGCGGCCCCCGAGCCGGCGGCGTCGACAGCGGGAGGCGCCGGCCAGGGCGCGGGCGCTGAGGCTGCAGGTAAGGAGGCGGCAGAGGAGCGCTCGCGCGAGGAGCAGGCGGCCCAGGGCGCCAAGGCGAAGGCTGAGGCGGCGAGGCTGTCGGCGGCCAAGTTCGCAGCTGCCGAGGCTGCGGCTGCAGCAGCTGCGGGCGCCACTGGCGCCAGTGCCGCCACCACCTCGGCTTGACATGTTGCGCCTGGCCGCGAACCCAGCACGTCGAAGGTCGGCGGCCAGGCGCCAGTTTTGTCTGAGGAGAAGCTCGAGGATTTTCAGGACACCTCCAAGAGCCTCTCCATATTCTATGCCAACGTCACTACCTTGGGGTATCAGGTGTGGACGTATCTCATTCAACATTGTGATCATCACGCTCTGTGGGGATGCGCTGAGACTCATGTACCCGAGTCGGGCATGCGCAAGCGGGAGCAGATATCACGCAAGCACAATCGTCGTATGATAGCCAATGCTGCACGGTCCACGGGGCAGCATCGGTCGGCAGTCATGGCAGAGAAAGCTACTGAGGGAGGCGAGATCATCTTCGCCAAGAAGCACCTTCAAGTCACCAGCCTGAGCGATCTTCAGGCGAATGCCCTCAAGGCCCCTGGGTCTGGAGCTGTGGATGGCTTTGTGGGGTCAGTCGTCCATTGCGAGGGTTTCTCTTTCATCATGTTCGTGTTCTACGGGTTCTGTTCTATTGGTATGTCTGGGAGCAACCTTGCTCGTTTTCAGCGCTTGGGAGCTGTATTGCAGATTTTGCAACTACCATGGATTGCACTCGGGGACTGGAACCTCAATCCGTCCGAACTCGACAAGTCGGGTTTTCTCCAGTGTGTGCACGGGCAGGTCATGGTGCCCCCCGTCGCTTCCACCTGCGACATGGGCGCCGTCGGCTCGCTCATAGACTATGCGGTCATGTCGGAGGCCATGGCGCCTTGCATCCTGGATTGTCAGGCTGTACTTGATGTCCCATGGCGGCCGCATGTGGGCATCGCACTCAAGATCAGGAGCAGCGGCAAGCAGCTGGTTACTCGTCGTCTCGAGGCACCTTCTCGCCTCCCCCAAGTGATGCGGCCCCGCGCTTTGCCGCAGCAAGGGTCCAAGTCATCACCTGCCAAAGCCGAGAGAGTCATTCAGTCTGCCGCGGCCGCGGAGCGCCGCTCGAAGCTCTTCACCGAATTGTTCAGTGATTGCATTGTTCAGGGTAGGCATGAGGAAGACACAGCAGTCCCGTCTGACGACGAGTCTTTAGTTGATGAGTGGCCCGAGGAAGAAGATCCCTGGAGTCACGAGCCGAATTTCTGTAACGGTTTCTGTTCGTCTGATCAGCCAGGCCAGCCTCCTGCTGTTGATTCCAGTGGGCCCTTGGTCGGTGAGAAGGAAACTGTTGAGCAGTCGTCTGTGCAGATCGAGTTTCAGAGTAGCAGCTGGAAGTGTCAGGATCCAATTCGGTTGCCCGACGGAGTCGGTCCCTCCCTCAGCGATTGCG